GTTACTGGAGCCTTGTGGCAGTATTCAGTATCTTCTTAATCCAGCTTTGAACATAAAACTCAACAGACTCATGAGAAACTACTTTGATTCAATGATTCCCATCTCTATCTGAACAGATTTCACTCACAGCTACCACTACAACAAAGGTATTTTAGTCATGAAATAAACTGCTGTGATGTCACCCTTCAGTATATCATTAATGCTTTCCATGAAATATGGGAATGTGTAAAAATATTTCAGAGGCATAGTAGAGGACAAACTTAAAAAGTAATAAATTTTCTACTTAGTTAATATTTTACTGAATACTGGGAATATTTACGTCAATTTCATCAACTTATCTGTTGTCTGCCAGCTTACCTTTCTTTGCCTCAGCTCTTAAGTGCATGCAAGCACCTGAGCATGCACATACACACAGAGAATAAACCGGCAGTGAAACAACAAAATTTCTAATACAATACTAGATAAGGAATATTAAACATTCAACCCATGCACAATCAACAAAGATAAAGACGTCACCATGGAAAAGTAGCACTAGTGCAGGGTTAAACAGCTTCAAAATAGCTACGCTAATGGAATATAGCTGCCCTAACCAATTGTCTTGCATTCAAATCATATTAAATGTACTACTATTATTTAGGATGTTACAAATGTCCTATCTTTCATAATGACAGGACTTCAGACCAAATGCCTCACCAGCTCAAAGGCCTGCTGAATTCTTTGATTCATAACATTAAATAAATTGGATTGTAGGATTATTATGTACTATACAATCAACTGAAGATTGCTTTTTTCCTTTCACTGTCTTTTTCGTGCCTAATCTGTATTTTAGAAGTCACATTTATTTGAATTGAAATGCACATATTTTGAAAGGGAGCCATATTTTGAAAGGGAGCAAGGGAGAGAAAGGTAGCAAAAAAGGGGATATACTAAAATATGGCTAAACCTGATGTCCTCGCCCGTTCTGTCTCACAATTTTTATCTCTGATCACATAAAACAGAAAAAAGAGAGAAAGAATGACAAGGTTGCGGAGTGGAGGAGGCTGGGAATAACATTGTGGACTGACATGTTCTTCTTTGTCCTCACACAAACGACTGTATTTTTTTTTTAATGGATTAGATAACTGTATGATGCAGCATAGTTTATGATAAAGGCTCTTTGGTTCTGAGAAAGTTAAGTTCTCGGCATTTTAGTGGTGGATTCCCAGTGACTAATCTTTTGCTGCTTACTACTTCACAGTGAACTTCAGTTTTCACAGTTGGGAAGTGTCTCTGCAGTCTAAGCACAATTATTAGGGAGTATACCTTACCAAACATCATGCAAAGTCCTTTTGTGAGGTTAATTACATTTAGAAATCATACTCTTACATTACATGATCCTTTTCTTCATCATGGATCGTAATGCAGCTTACAGAGGATTTCTAGGTAGTTTTCGTATGGACATTGGCTAGATTCAAAATCTCTCCTGAGCCACAAACGAAAAGTTCAACAAACCGCAAGTACCCAAAGGTGGACCTAGATGTCTCATCTGAAGTCTATATTTGCCAAGGCAGCAAGGAAAATATGGGCAGAGCTCTGGAAGGAGAAGACTGACAGATGGATGGGATAAAGTCCCACAGATTCTTCTCCTGCAGATTTTCCCAATTTATTTCTTCATTTTCATTTCCAATTGAAAGAGAGAAAACAAAAAAACAAAAACCTGACAATACTGTGGGGATGATTGCGGAGAAGAGGCAGCAAGTAGGAAAAAGAGTTAAGCATGCTCTGCTATCCATCAGTTCTGCCCTGGAACTACCTACCCTCCAGTGTGTTGACACTGCAGGGGAAATAGGAAGGCAGTCTTGTGTTTTGTCTAGTTTAGTCTAGAATACTTTTCCAACAACAGAGATTCAAAGCTTAGAAAATTTACTTCTGGGGACCAAAGTCCTATTCATCTTCCCCTGAGAGGGAAATCCTCCCAGCATGGTAAAATGTGGGATCACACTTGTACGTTACTGTTGCGCAAGTAGTGATCTCCATGAAGAGCACCTACTCTCTACCTGCCAACAGGATATTGTCTTTGGAGTAGAGCTCTAGACTAGAGAATCTCCCGGTAGCCATGTTACTGATGTGAGAGCATCTTTATGAGGAATGGGGCAGGCCCTATACAGGCTGAGAGGTTCAATAAATATTTGGGGACTTATGTTTCCTATATATAACATTGCTCAGCTGTATTCTAAGATGCTAGTCCTGCTGTGCAAGTTCAGAGTTTAGAAAAGTTACTTTTTTTGAACAACAACTTCTTCAATTTTGGAACAATTACTGGCGGTGCCAGCTGCAGAGGATTGGGTGTTGTAGTCCAAAAAGTAACATTTCCCATCTCTTAACTGGTTTTTCACAGTGCATTGCCTAGGTGGTCAAAGGAATTTTACACAGTACTACTGCAAACAATGAAATAGGCTGGTGCTGTTATTTCCATAATAATATTCCTAATCTATGAGGTGGGTAGTACTTGAGGCTGGCAGTTTGCCCAAAGCCATTTGGCAACTTTGTAGCTGAGGTGCAAGCCGGAATGTGGGGATGCTTAAGGTTAGAATAAGTTCCCACTCCAGGGAAGCTGGTGACAAAACAGACTCCCATGTCAAAATATTCATTAGTAATTTCTTACCTGTAATTATCTGATAAGGCAGCTGTAAATGCCTTGACAAGGTATAGCAATTCTGAATGCTAGAAATAGCTGTTTCAATGCCAGTGTGTGCACATGTAAAAAAAGAGTACTGTACAATACTAATTTCAAGAAGCTAATAAAGCGCTCAAAGTACTCCTTTACTTCAGAACCACTGTTTCATTCAGAAATATTTATTAGGTGTCAGATAAACCTCATTGCTTTTGAAAAGTAACAGGAAAGACAAAAGATGAAATCCACCATGAAAATACAACCATTTTAAAATGAAAAGAAAGGCCTAAAGAAGATGCCTAAAGGAGCTGAAGAATAACAGTGGGATGGAGAATATCTAGTGTGGGAGTAAGCAGTGAATGAACTTGTTAATAATAATAATAATAATAATAATAATAATAATAATAATAATAATAATAATAATAATAATAATAATAGTTTTCTACAAGTACATGTCACTCTTCCCAGTTTAATAGCAAAAATGTAAGCAACAGGTTGTACCCTAATTCTGGCTTGACCTGCCCACAAATAGAATCAATAGCTTATGGGATAAAGCTTATTTATTAAAAAATACTTTTAACCTGCCTTTCTCCTTAAAAAGGACCCAAGGCAGCTTACAACAATTAAAAGATAGTATTTAGGTTAGAAACAATGAGTATACAATACTAAAAGGAACAATGAATAGAATACCAAAAAACATAAGCGATATCAAAATACATTCAGTGCAGTGAATGTAAATAATCAATACTGTCCGATAACTGCAAAAAGGAAAGAAATGGCTTCTCGCGAAGACAAATTTGGGAAGATGTGGGTTCTCTATGCATGCTGGGTCTAGGGCTACATTCCTGGCATGCCAGGAACTCCTGAGTAATATCTCCAAGTCAGTTATCGGTATTGTTAATTCACGCCATTTAAAGTTACATCCATGAAAGGTTTAACACAGCAACACCATTTTACTTTCAAGAATGAGAAAAAGCCTGCACTTTTTTTAACCATGAAATTTCATTTTAAAATGAGTGGAACATTCAAAAGGGCTTTAAAGAGAGAGTTGGATGAGGGAGAAAACTGCTGGGATCCACAATGCAAATCTGAATGTGATGCTAAATCAGCAACATCTTTATTTGGGACATGCATTATTGAGACAGGAGTGGCTGGCAGCCAAGGTTGGAAAGAAGGTGATAAACGTTAATTAATTAATTTTTTTGAGAAACATCCCGTTCAAGATACAAAATGTGATACAGGCAGTGCACAGAGGCGCTAATAATACAACCTGGAGTCACTGTTCTTCAGAACAAAATGAAAAGACCTCTGGCTTTTCTTTTTTTAAGATCAGTGAAAGAACACTCCTTTTTAAAAATGCCCCCATTTCATCCCAAGGTTTCATTCTACTGACGTGTCTAGATCTACTTCCCGTTCTTTCTTTCCCTTCTCAGGCATCCTTCTTTCCAAAGATGTCAGGTTTAGCTTGAAAGAAACTCGGGGAAGCCAAATTCCAAACCCCTTCTTTAAAAAAAAGGCAGGGAGAGGGACTGAAGGGCAAAGCAATGGCTTCTCACAGGTTACATACATACGTACATACACGTATACACATACACAAATCTTTTACACACACACGTTATATATGTGTGTGTTCGTACGTTTTTTTAAATAAAGGGTGGCCACAGTAGTAACCGATTTTTCATTCCTTTCTCTGTAATTGTCAACCCAATACCCCTACCGATTTTTCATTCCTTTCTCTGTAATTGCCAACCCATTACCCCTCTTTTTCTCAAATAAAAAGTAATAATAAACGGCCATATGTGCCTCAGAGAGGCGGATGCGAACCCGAAACCGGGGTCCTCGCGCTACTGCCTACCCGCCTTTCCCCCCTCACCCTCCCGCCTTGGTCTTTTGTACCTACAGCCCGGAGGCAGAAAAAGAAACGAGAGAGGAGCGACCGAAAGGTGGCGGCGAGGCCCGAAGATCCTCCGGGGGGTCCGGCAAAAGGCACTGTTTTCCCGCCGGCGCCACGCGGCTCCCTCTTTGGCGCAAGGCAGCGGCCCTCTCCCGCTCCGGGCGGCGCGTCCTCCGCCAAGGGGCAGCTGCTTCGTCCAGCCAGGAGGGCAGCGGCCAGGCGGGTGGCGAACGAAGGGATGCGCTTCCCTCCCGGGAAGCGAAGATGCGCCTTTGGGCAGCCGCCCATGCCCGGCCGAGAGGGCGTCGGGCGAGGAAGTGGCGCTCCTTCACCATCCCGTCAGCCATGTGCCCTTCGGAGCCTTCCCAGCGAAGATGCTGAAGGGAGAGAGGCCTTTCACACACACACACACCCCAACACGCATCCAACCCCACCCCGCCTGCCTTCACCAACCTGTTAATCCGACCGATCCTGCTTTCCTTTTACCTCAGCCTAGCAGTCCAAGGTGTCTCGGCGGCGGCCCTCCTTCTGGGTCTCTCCCCCCACCCCCCGCCTTATTTTCTTCGTCTTCTTTTCTGCCGTGTCCTTTGTTAGAAGCGCCAGCTCTCCCCGTCTCAAGCCGTCTCTCTCGGCAACAGAACCGGTGGAGCAGAGAAGGAGCAAAACTGGGCTGGGGAAAAGAAAAGAAAACCACCACCTCCCCCCCCCAAAAAAATTACAGAGAGAGCGAGAGAGAGACCCTATACGTCAAACTGCCGTGGCGAGGCTGGGGAGAGACTGAGCGGAAGATGATACCATACGAAAACGACCTTCACACGGCGTAACATTGGCGGCAACTCCTCCTCCGTGTGTGTGTGTGAATATGTCGGGGGCGCGGAGGCGGGGGTTCTAGCCAGCTGAAGGTGCGATGGGAAAGGAGGGCCAACTCAGCTGGTCCCTGCCGTCAACCCTGGTGCCTTTTGTTGTCCCCCTCAGCTGCTCCGAAGAAAACGATGGCTCAGTGGTTCCGTGGCTCACGATTTTTTTAAAAAAATATATCGATTTTTTTGGGGGGGGGAGGGGGACTGGGTTTTTTAAACAAAAAAATAAGGCTTCTTGCTCTGTCGCCGCCTGTTTCCTCTTCCGCCCTGGCAGGTGGGGCTCCTCCTGGTCCCCGAACCCCACCCCACCCCAGGAGGAAGTATTTGCGTGTT